GGAAGGAAGGAAGGAAGGAAGGAAGGAAGGAAGGAAGGAAGGAAGGAAGGAAGGGTCTCCACAACTCCCTAACCCTGCTTACATATGTAATCCGACCTGATTTCCTTTTGAGCCCCTCAACTGCCTTTCACCAAAGTGCAATCCTTAGCCAACAAAAGGTTGCCAATCCCCAATATACAAGGTTTATTTTATGCACTGCCAAATTGATTCTAAACTTTTATTGGGTTATGGCTGAATGGATTGTTCTGAGCACTATGCTTACTATTATGGACAGAAGGCTTAGGAAGTTACCAGGATTCCAGAATGTGGGAAGATGAATTCAGTTGAACAACTGAATTTGAATTTAACATCTGTTACTCAAAAAGCTATAATGCTAGTGCATACATGGGAAAAATCAGCCTACTTGGTGGCTGCCACTCCTGATTTTTAAATGATGTTCAAAATGTGACTAGAAAGGACAGCATCTATTTAGGAATGACCAGATATTGTCTTCTATACAACTCCAGGATTTGTTTGGACATGCATGTTTATACACCTGCTAGTGCCAACGTTTTCAACCCATCATACATGGGAGAGCATGTCTCCAGCTGAAATCAAGTAGAACTATATTGCTGAAGGGGAAAGAACAACAATGTGAAGACTGGAAAGGTGAGCAACTGAAACTCTAGAAAAGCGGGAGCCACAGCAGCAGGAAATATTGCTATCCACCTTATTCACAGTTTTTATTGAGATCAGAGATAGAGAACAACAAATATGACCTGCATCCTAGAGCTCTATGATATTACACTTTCATCTTAGATAAGGCCAGGTTATATCAGGCCAAGGCATAATTTAGCTGGTTTGTACAACTGCTGGAGGGCAAACGGGTAGAACACCTGCATAACAACTTTGTTCCTTAACAGGCCTATTGTCTAATCTGTCAGCCATCTCAACAGATCACCCTTTTTTGACATAACTAGGAAACTAGTTTTATAAATGAGTGAACTGATACTAAATGAAACACGCCTCAGTGCTCATGTGGTCCTTTTTAAAATGCAGATTTCAATCAGTTGGATTCTAACTCTGAACAGGTTTTGTCCCTGCAAGTCTCCAGCTACTGAATGAGGAGCAACGAAGTTTCAGAAATGTCTTAAGTAAAAACAACCACCTATAAAATCATCATGACAGGCTTTTCTAAGCATTCCAAAAACTGTTCTCTCCCTATTTAAGAGAGAATCATATTTATTGTTAAACTTTTAAGCTGAAAAAAATAAGAAAAGTGCTGGTGATGGTTTTCATGCCTGGGGATTCCCACATTATTTTTGCATTTAAAGAACTAATGCAGTGGTTTAATTTACTAAATATAGCCAGAAAACATTTAATCTTAATATTGCTTACTGCAATCCTATTCCTGAAACACTCAAGCTGTCATGAATTAAAAGGGCAAGCCATATTCTAAGAAAAGCAAACTAAAATGCTGCTGGATAAATATTGTAGCATTTTTCATCCCGTGATACTATAAGTCTGCAAAACTGCAGCATAAGGATTGACCAAGAAGCTGGCCTTGACAAGAGAGAGAACAGCCAACTAGGGAGTTAAAGAAGGTAAATGAACAAGTATAACATTGTAATGGATTCCTGGGCATGCTTATTCAGCAGTGAGTAATTATCCATACTATTATCCATGGCAGGGACATCTACCGGAAAGGTCAATTTCTGCCAAACTGTGACTGCAGGGTCATGATCCCCACCCTCTTGTTGCATACACTTACAAATGGGGTGGGGGCTTGGATCGCTATTCTGCATCCGCCATCTTGCAGATTTTGACACACACATACACCTTCTGTGAATACCTATTGTCCATGGGCCTTATTTCCAGGTAAGTGCGCATATAATTATGAATGTTATATATATATACATATATAGAGATCAGAACAGCCACAAAATAGGAATAATCAAAACAAGCTTTTGTGTTTCTTTTCTTTTCCTTTTTTTAAATGATTTGGGAGGGCATATAATCTGCAGCCTGCAAAGCCTCTCCATCTATTGCTTCTGAGAAAATTATTAAATCAATGGAAATAACCACATTCATACTGAAAACTGATTAATTGTTCATGACATTAACATTCGGTTAAATCAAATCTAGTTTTTCTTCTTGTCCAGATGACTTCTTTTTTGGCCTAGCATACCACTCAAAGCCAAATGTGACCTGAACACCTCCCACCCCCAAATTTGGACCTCTCTGTCTTCTACCACACCATCACGGGGCTCATTTAGCTATTGAAGGTCTCTCAGCCATTGAGTTTATATGAGGGGGAGGGATTTTTTTTTTCAATAGCCTCTGTTCATTTAATAAAACAGAACAAAGAGAAGACAAAAAATCACAGAAGAAGGGAAGGGAAAAAAACTCAACAAAAATTATACACACAAGGCTTCTCATATATATATATGACATTTTACACAACAGTCTCAATAAAGGTTAGACATATTTCATCAAAATCATATTTCATACATAATCTATGTCTATAAGCAACTCATTCATAAATTGCAAATAACATCAGGTCTTCACTCCACTGAGTAACTGAGGCCATAAATTTATCTTTCCACCGTTGAAGGTCTAGTCTCTTAGCAATAAGAAGGTCATGGAGAATCCATTTCCTGAACTGTCTGTTAAAAATAAGGGGGGAAATTTAGATTCCATTCATCCCGGTCCTGGTTAATTTCAGACATAACATCAGGGTGTCTATAAGAACTACCATCCAGAAACTCTTCTTTCCAGCTTCTTGATTAGCAAACTGCAAGAGAGCCTCCCTGCCCAGAATATGGGAACAAAATAATCAATCTATGTAGCATACAGGTACTCTTTTCAGGCCCTGGGCATCATTTAATATCCACCAACATTGTGAAATACTAAAATGGTTGACATCTTCCAAGATTGCTAAAAGTCACAAGATTTTGGCCATCTAATCCTTGGAATCTTGCAGGAATGTTTTTGCCTGAAATCTTACCATATTTAATGTTCTTCTGAGATTTTTACCAATTTTCTTAAATAAAAATAAATTCTAATTAATTTTGTGATTTTTGCAGATATCGCCTACGGATATTACAGGAGGCACCACACTGCAGACCCTTGGGGTGGCCTATGCTAAGCTAAATGGATCAATGGTCTGCATTCAGTATATGGCAGTTCTCCCCAGTGTGGTGCCATCCAAATGTATTTGATTAAATCCTGCCCCAGGGTGATTGGAGTTTCCAGATGTCTGATTCCAACACTTGGAAAGCATCGGGTTGGGTAAGATTAATTCAACACTTCTGTAGGGACCAGCCTGGGGACTCAGGCTGAACTCAATTAACGCTAAAATCAACCTGGCAGCACTCCGGCGTGCCTTAATCTAAGGGCAGGCAGGCTAAAGGGGAAGTAGAGGTGCTTATGATCCAAAAGCATATTAGGTTCACTGCTGCAAATTTTATTTCTTACAAAAGTATTGAAACAACAGCTTAAGGTCTACTGTTCTTTTAAAAGCACCAAGCTAGTACCTTAAGGAACTAGGATATTTTTCCCATATTTGGAGACTCGGGGATGAGATTTTTCCCCTAGTTTTTTTTTAAAATATTCCTTTTTTCATTATGTCTGAATTTTATATAAAATGTCTCCAAAGGTATTGTAAAACTGAGACATACCATGGAAAATAATACTGCAGATGATTGATTATGAAAATGGGAGACACAATATGATCGCATGCCAAAAAAATGAGAGAGCAGACAACATAGCTCAGTTTCCATTTTAAACAAATAGACATTGGAACAATCAGGAAACTGCCAAGGTAAATCAATTCAGCATGGATACAGCACCAACAAAATGAGGCAGATTCAGAGATGGCCGCTGTTATATGTTACAGTGGCAGTGATGAAAGATGCTGTTCTCCTGTTTTGTGTTTTTCTTGAGCCTGGCCAGATTTTGCTCTTCTAGCTTTACATCAAATCCAGCAAGTTCAATGGCAGACTTTTGGCGTTCTTATAACGAGAATCCAAATCTGGCCTAGGCAACTATACAAAGCACTCAGAATATTCTTTCTTCTTGAGGACTTGACACATGATTGACTGCTCCTGATCATCTCTTCACCTCTCATTATGAATATAAACAGAGAAGAAAAGGATTCATTCAACCAAGAAGAGAAACTGTGACAGATACAAAACTAAGCCATTGTCCATCAAAACGTAACAGGCTCCAAGGTCGTGTCACAAGCTGTGCTATTTAAATTCTTCCATCTGCCATCTTCAGTGTTGAAATCAGACCACAGAAAACAGGTCAAACCTGTCTTGCTGCAAGTCTTTAAATATATCAGGACAAAATTATTCGGTACACTTGGTTTGTCATCAGTCATTCGGGGGTGTAACACAGGGTTTAGTATATATCAATCTATGATTTGGTATATATTCTACTAAGCCATGTTTTGTCGAACCAAAGCTTATAGAATAAACCACAATGGTTGGATTCACACAATATGCTGAATCAAATAGGACAAACCATAGTATGGGTTAGCAAATAGGGAGAACCTGACAACATTACGGTTGGTATGATTGATAATACTTCAGATACCATTTTCATAAATTTCATAAATAAACTTTCAGACTTACAAGACTGATGTCAACCTTGCAGGGTTAACCAGACCAGAAGCATAACTAGAAGGACTAGCTGTAACTTTATTGTAAGGTTACATTAACAGAATCTTGCAAGTTTGAAAGTACATGCTTCCCCCTCCCCTTTATAGCCCAAGAAATTAGGGAGGGTCCCTTCTGAGATGTTTGCCATGCTCCCATTGCTTCTGTTGGCTAAGCTGCCTCTTATTTGACCGTTGTCTAGTTTGCGGCTCTTCCTCCTGTATCCCAAGGTCACTTCCACATACTATTACACCTCTCTGTTATACATGATCAAGATGTGACAGTGTACATGATGAGATATGTAATCTGATCAAGATTAATCATGGTTATAATTTCCTGGCTACAGATACATAAAAAATCCATACCTTTGTCCAACTGAACAGGACACTTTGACCCAGGAAGGGCACCAGTGAATTTCACTTCCAATCTTGGATGCTAACCACATGATAGGAAAAACAGGAAACACAAGCCCAGGTATATTCTAAGGATGCAAATTAGTAAAGAGGATTATCAAAAAAATAATAATAACTCAAATGAGATAATTACTTTACCTGGAATAAATATAGGTTAATGCATGTTATGCTAAAAGTTATATAAAAGTAGAAGCTTAATTTCATTCCAGTTGCAGCATAGAAGGCAACTGGGAGGAATAACATCTAGCAGCTAGCTCCATAGTACAGTCAGGATGTGCTCAAGATATGTGGGCATTGATCATGAAGCCTGCTAACTTAATTGGTAAGCCTGTAGGTTGCCAAACATTAGAGCAATGCAAAATCAAAGTCTTCCAGATCCTTACATCTAAATCAAAATAGCCCCAAAGAAAGAGAAAAGATATGCGCCAAACTTTCAAAAACAAAAGATTATTATATAGGAGCAACAAGGAACTGATAGCACCGAGCACAAAGAGGAACCATACAGCCCACAGAGGTAGAAAGTTTTCAACCAAGTTAAAGAACTAAAGGTCACATGGCTATAGCAAACTGTGGAATAAATGCCTGTGACAGTTATACAGGGCAGTATTCTTTTTTGATACGATTCTATTAGACAAGATCTTTAGGAACAGCATGTCTACCAAAAAGGAAATCAGAGGATCCAGCATCTACTGCACCAACCCCTATTTCCATTGTAGTCATAGCAGTAGCAGTTGAGGATATCTGAGTTGCTCCACCTTGGCTCTCTCAGTACCACTGATCATCATGTGCCTACAACAGCATAGGGATCAACCCATTCAAGAGAAGTGGCAGGTTTGATGGCTGCAGTTGCAATCTCAAAATCCTCTCAATATATTTGCGTTTGCCTCCAGTGCCACATGTTCATACCAGGACAATTCTTAGTTCTGAAAAAAAAAGGATAAAATAAGGCACTCTTGTGGAAGCAGAGAACCTGTAATTTTGTATGCTATCTATAAAGCCATGATCTGCCCATAGACCTTTAGTGGCTTAATCCACAAAACACTCCCACCGTGTTCTTTTATTCTACAATTAGAATTAGAATGATACTGGAATTGATCCTGCCTTTTTGTATAAAATTACGATGTCCTTCAGCCCTAACCTCTGAAAATAAAGTTTAAAACATGACTCAGAGTCACAAAAAGATCATCTGCTTCTGGTTTAAATCTTTTATACCCCATCATTCATCAATCAAGTTCAAAATGGCTGATGAATAAACAATGATAAATAATGAATAAATGAACAATAAATGATAATAAAGTAACAATAAAATTCTAAAATTTAATAATTAAATTAGAAATAAAGCCGTATAAGCAGACATTTCCTAATTTGAGCAAATTAGAATAATTCAAGAGGGTTTTTTATGTTCCAAAATACATGGAATTAAGACATCATTGGCTAAAATATTGTTTTGATGTTCAATGAATGTACAGAGAAACAAAATTGAGTTTGTATACACATTTTTAACTCCTGACTTTTGTACATTCATATGATTGTTAGTATAAATGTAGTCTATTTTCAAATAAACCAATGAATGGCAGAGGTTAGAATGGGACTAATGAGCCACTTCTAACTCACTCTCATATCTAGGCTGGGGCCTGAACAGAATGATAACTGAGATTAAAATGATTTGAAGCTTCTTTGGAATGTTAGCCTCTCAAAAATTATAATTTCCACTCAGGTCAGTTCCTACATGGCAAAGGAAAAGACGTAGCCCTTTTAAAGGCTAAAGCTTGCCAATCTGTAACAGCGGTTAGGCACAAATTAAGACCGCATATTTTAAAGAGTTATAATACATGGACTGGGGCATGATATTTTCTTGATGTTAGTGGACAGCTGGAAAAGTACAGGGACTATCATTTATTTATTTATGTATTCATTCATTCAATTTATCATGGTGTTTCCTGTGGGGGGAGAATAAACTTCAGATTTCCATCCATTCCTAGTAAATGCCTATACTTCTACTAAATGCCTAGGATCACTTTTGCTTAATTAATTCATAGTAAGCCAATTTGAAAATATGGATCTGTTTCATTTACTTGGATCACTCCATGAATAGCTATTTTATAGCTTCCTTCATATTATTCTTTGGAGTTCTGAACTCCCATTCATTTTCCAATGCTACACAACAGATGGACTTGACTTTGGCAAGAATTGATGTCAAGGATTCATCCACCAGTAGCTGAAGCCAATAACCTCCTTCATTCTTTGGCATGCAAAATATTGGGTTTCACATAGAAATGAGGAAAATGCTTTTATATCCATTTGTGTGAAATACAATATATTTGCTCAATAAGCCTAGGCCTACATATTAATCATAAATCAATTATATTTATCCTTAACCTCAGAAACGCTGCATTTCTCTTCCTTTCTTCAGTATGAAATCCAATAGTTTTTTTACAGCAATTATATTGCCTTTCATATAAATGGTAAGCTCATATTGTAATCATTAGTACTGTAGCCAATTCATTTGATATGACTCCAGCATTTATTTGCAGTCAGAATTCTTCCCTCCTCCACCCTGATATTGATCTTTTTTTTATTATTATTATTATTATTAACGGGATATCCTTTTATTTATACTATGAATTTTATACCACACACACACTCTACACAAATGTTTCATATTTAAGAAAGGGGGCTATATAGATAGTGCAGAAAAGAGTCCAAGCTCCTGATTACACTGAGATCTGGGGACCATGTTGATCATGGTAGCAATATGAAATAACAGGAATTCATTTACCGAAAGAAATACTGAGATAGCAGCAGCTTTGAAGAGCCCTAAACTGCCTTAGGGCTTCAGATCAAGTTCATTTCAAGGCTGTGATAAATGCACAGGGATCAAGGTTATTGACAGAAGCTCCCAGGGCGAGGAACTAGAGATCTGGTTTTGTGTTTGAGATCTAGGGTGCCTTTTCAGGGACAAGGTCATATTCAGTCTTGTGTGATGCTAAGTACTGCACTCAAAAACTGAGTAAGATGAAAACAAGGTAAGGGGTAGAATTAGTGTAAACATAATATATCTAAGTCTAAATTTCTGCTTTTTCAGAAAGTTCACTTCAATTTAATCCAATCCTCTAAAGTAATGGCAACATTCTTATTTATCAACCACCAAGAAATATATCCTATTGGCTTATTTATTTATATATATATTTATTAAATTTATATGCCGCCCATCTGCCCCAGAGATGTGCAAAATTGCCCTTTTTTCTTGAAAACATAATCTAGCTTTACCCCAAACAGTTTAATAATCAGGATTGAAACTGGTGGCAATGCCATTTGCTAAAGAAATTTGGCCATTAGTAAGAGATTCTGGGGGTCCACATCAAAGTTGCATCAGAACTGCATTGCACCCTGTTATTCAGTGCCAATTTTCTTCCTTAATTCTTCCTTAATTCAAACATAATTTCTTAGGTTATTTGAATTCACCTCTTGGCTTTCACATAGAATCAAAAACATTAAAGCTGGAGAAGAGTCTGCAGCAGACAATTTGGAAATGGGACAAGATGTCTAGACATAAATCTTTTTAACATTAAACAGACATTTTGATCATAACACAATGCTCAGTTGCTAGCCGGCACATCACTCACTCATCAACTATTTGTTGTTTGTTTTGTTCTTTGGTAAATTATAACCAATTATTTTTCAGTAGGCTTTCATATGATTCCTGAAGCTTTAATGTCATGAAGTATCCCTTCACAAATGTTATGAAAAGAGTGTGATGAAATTCACTCTATGATGGGGGTCAGATACATAGGAATCTAATTCATAATTTTATAATAATGTGTCACTTCCCTTTTAATATTAAGTAATAGCCTCCAAGAATGAGTGGCAACAAATAGATGATCGTATCCTAAACTCTTCTTCTCCTCCCTGGTGCTCTCCAGATGCACTGAGAGGACTAGCTGGGTTGAGGATTCATAAACTTGTGGTTCCAACACATCTGGACAGGACTAAGATGAGGAAACCTGGCTTAAAACCACTTGAGTTAGATCCATGAGGCTTTTGTGGAATGAAGTCTGGATTCAAGTCCCAAAAGCAATATCTTTGCCCATTCATTGAAATTGTTAATTTGAACAGCGCAACCTCTTCCAGTTTTGAAATTCATTTCAAAATTGGAAAAGAGAAAGACAGGCACTTCCTTCAAATGCAAACATTGTCTGTCTGTCTGTCTGTCTGTCTGTCTGTCTGTCTGTCTGTCTAGTATTCAGGAAAGTGACTGCTATAACTGGAATGCTTCTAAAGTCCGATTTTAATCAGGTCTCTCATTTAATTCTATTTTAGTGCACACTGCTTCTTAATTAACTTTGAAAAACAGTATCACACTATCACAAGACAATTCACACTGTCACAAGAACTATGTGGCAGAAATTTTTTAAAAAGTCATGTCAGGCATAGAACACCTAATATGTTCAGGATGTTGACATAGCAATTATCGGATCTATAAAATATTAAAATTGAAAGAATGAGTCTAAGACAAATTTCAGAAATGGGTGTAAACTACAGGACTACCATGGTTTGCATAGAGGAACAGTGCCACCTGGTGGTCACCTAATATATTTCAGAAGACTACTCCATACTATATACATAGCTGCCTAAAAAACAAGAAAATGTGCAGGAATATTTAAATATGGTTTTGGGATATAGACTCAAAAACTGAAAAATAGTTTCCCAAACTGAAAGAGCTTCACACATATTTAAAGGGTGAACTTAAAAACATAATGTGAGCTGAGCTCATAACATCTTTTTCACAATCATTAAATTCTCCAAGTGATTATGTGCTATTAAGTTGATAGTGTGCTATCAAACAAAAAGACACTGCATAGAATAGAACTTAACAGGAAAATTACATACATCCTCCTTCTCCCACCTCATGCCAGCCATGGGCTTCCATTCGCATGATCCCTGATCCACATGTTGGCTAGAATTATACGAGTTAAAAATTGAAAAACCAATTTTTCACTGGCAGGAGTTCATACATAGATTTGTTTGTGGTTTAGACTTACATGTAAACCCAGTGCATCAGATAGAAGGTTCAAACAAACTGTATTTTTAGATCTTATATATTTCTTTCCATTAAAAACATTCATAAATTAGCTACTCTATGAATAATATTTATATATAACATTGTATTCCTTCCAAAGCTATATGCTATCTGAAAAATATATAGATACTTACTTTTGAAAGATGAATTCTAGTAGTTTATTAAATCTGTAGCTTTAAATTCACATAGTTGAAATAGGGCATTGGGGAAATTCTAAGTGCCAAAACATTTTTTTTACACAAAAATAAAGTTTTCCTGGTTTCCTTTAAATATGTTATGCATCACCATCTTGAACCATATTTGTTGCAGCTAATACTCAGCTAATCTCAGATACTGAGGCAGCTAACAGCACTCCAACATGAGATTCAAAATTTTACAAACTACTATTGAAGCGGTTTAACATTTTTCTTTTTCTAAGGGAGGAATTGTTTTCCTTTAGGTCAGCAAATATGAAAGGAAGCATGAGGAGAAAACTTACAAAAAATCATTCACTAAAAATAGTGAAGAAATCACACAGAAGTTCAACAGGAAGAACATTTTCAGCAGTGATAGAATATTTCTGGGCAGCGTAAAAGTCTAGTTATAATCAAAGCTTAACAGAAGCTTTTCAAACATTGATCAGCAACAGTATCTTCCTTAGGACAAAATAGCCTAAAACCTTCTATATCTTGCTGCAACCAAAATTTATGTCACCACTTTACTGCATCATTCACTTGTCTGCAAACACTATCTATACAACACTGTCTCTTGGTCCAGAGCAGCCTGCATAACATAGAGCCCACAAATAAACTCGTGCCCGCCAGTGTTTTTTAAAAAGTCAATAAATTCGCCACTGCCACTCTG